GCCACATGGAGAGGCCTGGCGGAGCTTCGCGGGTTGGCGCTTCATGCGGGGAGCGCAGAGTTCAGTCGTGGAGAGATTGAGATTGTGTGCATTTTGTTACCCGTTGGACTCGTTGGGCATTCATTTAGAACTTCAGGGGTTTTGGTTCAAAGCAGTCTCAACTGCGACTGCCATGGATTTGCAGTCGCTTCTCAACCAGAAGCAGTTACCCAAGAAGAGGCCTGCTGCTGACCTAGTGCCGACACCGAAACCCATGCCAAAGAAGAGACCCGCTGTTCCTTTGGTCATCAACAGCGATGATGATGACAACTATACGACAGAGCTGCTCTTTGTTTGAATTTAGACATAGAAACAGCAAACTCATATGTACCTATGAAACATTATGAAACAGTTGAGAAATCGAAGGGACGTCCATTTCTTCCAATCTGAGGCCACCCTATCCCTTTCCTAGGACTTCCGAGCAGATGGGGTTCCTTGGCACAAATCAACAAGCGTTAAATAAAACAACATGTTCCAACAAACAATGTATAGTCTCAGGCTTTGGGCCCGTGTTCTGCTCTCGCGGGCTGCGATGGTGCTTGGAGAAGAGTTTGTGAAAAAGAGATTAAGAACCATGATTGCAAACAAGAAGATCAAGAAGAATGTTCTATCAATGTGTGCCTTTTCACATATTCGAATGTCCCTGACCCAAACAGACTTCAGGAACCATTTCATGGAACTGCTTCGACTTGTTCGGTGGCGTGCTTTGCATGCGGCGGGCCTGGGAGGCCATTGAAGCAGCCAGCATGGAGATGTGGGGCATCAAACCAGTCCTGCAATTTGCTTTCAACGTTCCTTATTCAAACACTGTTGAACATTCTTGAGACCGTCTGAAAGAGAAAATAGTCTGTGCTAAAAATAGAAAAGATGTCCGGGTTACTTCCCACGTTCCCAGGTTGAATGCAACAAGGCTTGTGTGAAGCTCTGCTCAGAATCCTACAGCAAATGCCTCTTCAAGAACATATTGGACATGGTGTCCCCAAATTCTAATGGTGATTGGGCACCTTCAAAGCTGCGGCTGGCCAAGAGGGCGCCGTGCGCTAAACATGGGAAAGAGCAGCTTGACATTAATCACAGCAAGTTGCAACATCATAAGTAGGGGTTCCAGAAACAAACCGACCCAGGTGTGCAATCAATATCACCTCGGATGACGTTGGCTTGATTGGGGCCCCATGCGTCCTCTTCAGCAGGCTAGGGCCCGACTCTTGTTTGGCAAGACCCGCAACTTATATTGCGTCACGCGCAGGTACGGGCTTGGAGAGGGCTTCACCAACATTGCGAAGTCAAAGGTGCACCATGCAGCCATGAAGATCCAGCAGCGGATTGCAATATCCCTTCATGAGAATGTACCGGACTTTGAAGAGGATCTTGGGGGTATGTCTTGAACCTGAACTTGAACCATGTTTACTTCCTCCACACACTTGAGAGTAAAAACTTCTCACAGGACTATTTGCACAAGCACCTGAAATGCCACAAGATCCAGACGGTCCTGCCGCAAGCTTGGCCAAATTCTTTCACCTCAGCGGCTTCTCTCTTTCAACTTGATTTGATGCATCCCAAGGTTGGACCCTATGATGTTTGGCATTCCCAACAGCAGGCTTCGTGCGTACCGGATTTGCTTCAACACAAAGCTGAAGAAGTGGACTTGTCAGCTTACTTTGCAACAGTTAGCTGACATACTTCTTGCTAGCAAAAAACGCTCAGCTTCCATTGGACTACACTGCCTTCATGGTGTCTACAGGGTTCGAGAAACTGCCGGTGTTCCAATCAGACCTCACAGAGCTACTTGCTGTAACTCAGAACCACAAATGTTTATCTTTTTCTCTCACCTATCTATGGCGCTGGTAGTGACAGTTCTCTCCGGCAATCTGAGGTGCCAAACTCGCCATTTGGAGATGTTCAGGCAGGTGGCTCCTGCCAAGGAGCTGTATGATTTGAGTGCCAATGTCTTGAAACGCAAGCGGACCGAGCTGGTCAATAATGCGCTGCCATGCCTCACTACTTCTTCTCAGTTTTGGTGTCTCGCTAAAAGGTAGATTGTGTTTAGAAAAGCTTGTGACGCGGTAGATGCAGTCTAGTTCATGTGTGACACTAAGTGGAACCCAGTGTTTGCCCATTGGCAAAGGTCTGAGCAATGTGAACGTCTCTGGATGGGTAAAGAGCAGCTTGGTGCGCTGGGGTACCCTTGCTTGGGGAGAATCGCAGCTTCTTCCCGAGTGGATGCTCAGAAAGAAAAAACAACATGATGAAATATGTTCATTTCAATTTAGTTTAGTTTTCCTTGTGGCCATCTCAAAGGCTCCAAAATGTCTGTTCAAATCAGGACCTGGTGGATGTTTCTTCCTACACGGAGGCGTCCTTGAGGAAGATGGCGGGAAACGGAATGAGCTTGCCTTGCGCAGGCTTTGTATTGTTGATGGCAGTCTTGTGCCTAGACAATGTGTGAATCATCACCTTAGACGGACCGTCTTAATTAGATTGTATTTAGCCTTTGCGTGACATCACAGTGCAAGAAACTATGATCCAATCACTATAGTGCAAGATGCTGCCGTCCAGTCCGGGTGTGAAAAAACAATGACTGCCCTTGAACCATTTTTTGGCATTGTTGATCTATTGGAAGCTTTGTTGATGCAAACCTGTTCAACACTGAATGCGCCAACTGCCGTCGTCTTTGACAGGCTGACAAAGCATGTCTGTGTTTGGTAGGGAACCACCTGAGAAGGAGTCTCAGCCGCTACCATTTCTTTCATTGCGCCATGCCCAGCCCAAGCCTCGTCAAAGGCCAGCTGCCTTGTTTGCCCCAGAGGGGGGACGAGCCAGGTTCCTCCTGCCAACAGAGACGGGGAGAGCCCAAAGTCAAGGCAAGCTCAAAACCAGTGAAACGAGTAGCTTTGTTTCAAGATGAGGATGATGAGGAACCCCATACTGTGCAAAGGGCATCAACATCAACTGCCTCACATACACGATGTTTGTTCCAAGATGAATCAGATGAAGAGTCTGCTTCAAGCTCATCTTCTAACATCAGGGAGGAGCAGGGCTCTGTACCAAAAGATGCATCCGAATCCGTCTTTGCTTTGGGGTGGTCTGCCATGACTAGTTTCCAGAACGCTCATTTTTGGGAGAGAAAGGTAGAAGGCCCTCCAAAAAAGAAGAGGGCATACAACAATGAGAAAAGGCGTGAAGAGGCTGCCTACTCGAGGAACTCCAAAGGTGTTTTTACGAGAAGTGGCAGTGACATGGAGAGGGTGAGCACTTTGATCCAACAAGAGTCCTGCCTATGCACCCTGTACTATTATTGTGACAGAATGGTTGTTTTTTTGTCTCTTTACTCTGTGGGTCTGTGATTGTTCAACCATGTTCAACCCAATATCATTATCGTCGCTCGATTCAAGGCGCCAACAAGGTGTGCTTCAAGCAGTTTGCTCAATCCAAAGAACTACCTGCTTTTGTTTCAAAGTTCTGGGGCCTTTCAAAGCAAGATCAAGATTCACTGGTTCCTTGTCAAACAAACACTGTTCAGTAGTTTTCATATTATATCATGGTTTGGTCGATGATAGTATGTAATCATATGATATCCTGTCCAGAGGCAGTTTGGGTATTAAGCTATTGGACAACTAAGTTACACTTCGCTTCTGGAGATGCTCTTGGCAACAGCGCCTTTCGCTTGCTTGACCAAACTGTTGGTGCGAAGTGTCTTGCGCGTCCCCTGGGCGTAGGGTCCAACAGGTTGAGGAAGTCCATGTCTGGTGCCCCTGACCTCAGATTTGGCCGGCGTGAACATCGGAGCCGGCCACAGACCTATACAATGGACGCTTTCTTACAAATAGCATACGAGTCCATAGCAGAAACCCTTCCAGACCGGCTACTGGGTAAAAAATGACAACATCTTTGCAACCTTTTTGATGGCAAAATCAAACCCTAAACATTTCAAGTTCCAACAAAACATGACACCACCCAACTGCAGCATGACTCCCTGAGGTTCGTTCGAAGGGGACGTGCCCGTGCACCGAAACGTGACTTGGACGCTGACGAGGAAAGCGACTATGAAGAGGTCACTTCAGACCTGGAGGACGTTGATGACTTGAGGGGATGGCTATCTTCCATGAGCTGCAAAACCATGGGTCTTATCCCACATGAAACCTTTGTCCGAAAGTACCTGCCTCCGGGCACTGTCGCCGACCTATTTGAGCATTACAAGTCCACTCAAAAATTGTTGGGGGGATACTGCGCTTCGCTTCTCGGTCGAATCGTGTGTATTGTTTGGTTCTTTATTGTCGCATTCATTGTGTGAATGCCCCTATGCAATGAAGCTAATCCAATGTCAGCTGCCAGCCAAATGAAAGGTACAGCACGTTTATGGACGTATATAAACGGAGATGGTCAGACGTGCTCAAATTCAGAGATCGCAGCCTGTTCACTACTTGCGAGATTTGCTACTTGTTGAAAAGCAACTTGTCTGACAAGACCTTGTCCATGGAACAGAAGTTGGGTTCACTGTCTACCTACAGACACCATCTACACTCACAGTACTGTGACCGCAGCACGATATGGCAACTACAAGCAGCAGGAGCTGATCCGAACAGTGGTATCCTAATGATATCGACGGACGGCCTCGACCAATCCAAATTTGCATTGCCCCGCGATCCATCCCTAAGGGCAAACGCAGGGCTGAGACTTGATTTGTAACAAAGGAGCACCCTCTTTCTATTTCAGGATTGGTTGATATCCCAGTCATCCCAATCACTCGCAATCCTTCCCAGCGGGCTCTTCTCACAGCTGAGGGCAAAACACATTCGTCCTCGCATCAAGGTGCACGGCGCCTGGGCGTTCGGCTATGTACTGAACATATTCACCATTAACGA